GTATCACATAAAGCAAAATATTATCAAAACTTGAAAAAACAGAAAAGAAAATCACAGAATCGCAGTAAAGAAGATCTATAAGCTATAATTAAGATAGTGGGCTGCTTAATCCATGCTGCTTAAAAAAATAGCACATCAGGAGCAAGTGCCAATTAGTTAAGGAAAGCAAGTCTACTTCTTTTTGCCTACTGGCCCAGAATATTATCATACAAGAGAATTAGAACAGGACAGGATTTGTCTGCTAAAATCTTGCATTGCACCTCACTCAGCAGCTTAATCTATCATCAGTCGTTCTAAATACTTTTTCATTGTTTTTCAGGAACATTTACAAGTTTTCTGGCTCTGGACCCACACTGTTTTTTCCCTTCTAAAATACATAGATGGCTTTGCCAACCCTTAATCTATAGCAGTGTCCATCTACACAGAGCTCCTTGCCAACATAGATGCAGAAAAAATCCTCACTGCCAATGTTTAATGGAAGTGACCAATTACAAAACAGTAAAACATAACCCTTCGCATCTATGAATTTGAATTTTAAAATCAAAAATCCTTTTACTGGAAAAATTTTCTGAAAAAATTCCTTTAGGTCTGAAATCACCCCAACTCAATGTCAGTGCTATGGTTATCTAGTGTTGGATAACCAAACAACCCCAAAGAGTACAAGGATTTATTATTGTTTCTCTTGGTCCCATGGGGTTGACTTGGCTCAGAAGGCGGGTTCTCCTGCAGGGTCTCCAAGTGGTCGTAGTCAGTTGACAGCTGACCTGCACTGACCTAAAGTCTCCCCTGGGCTGCGGGTACAAGGTAGTTCACTCACAAGGCTGGCCATCAATCTGGGCTATTGGCAGGGAAATTAGTGGGGACTGTTCCCCCAAAACATTCTTTGCAACTCACAAGTCAATGTTATCACAGAGGCAGACCCAGAGGCTCTAAGAAGCACAGCAGCCAACATCTGGTGGGAGCAGCCCACTGTCAACCCCCTCACACGCTCGACAACATAAAACACACCATGAGAATCCCTCTGCACTCATGGAGGAAGCCAATGCCATTTGGAAGGCTGGCTCTAGTCCAGGGCAAAGACCTCTGGCCTCCATCCGTACCATCCCTGGAGACTCTCCGAGTACTCGTCTTTGATCTGGGCCCCCAGCTGAGTGGATTTGGCTCCTTTCTGAACATCTTTAAAATGGAGACAGCATTATCTATCTTGCAAAGTTTTGGTGAGATTCAGAACGGCCAACCTTTGTGAAGCACTTTGAACACTGCCTGGCTTGTGGTGGAGGTTAAAGAATGGCAACTGTTATCACTACCGCGTATAGCCTTATTGCTTTGCAGTGAAAAGAAAGGTTGCATTGGGGGAGGGGGTTTAAAATAACTTTGGTATTTTGAACACCTATGGCCTAAGATGCTCTTTGTGCATACGTGTCCACACTGGAGGAAGCATGGTGTAGTGTGAAGAGTAAGCTTGAGGCTAGACAGATGCTGATGATGCCATCAGGGCCTCCGTTCTTCCTCACCCACCCCCAATCTCTTTGCTGAGCAGCCTTGCAGGGCTGCCTTACCCTGGGCAAGCCCGGACATGCTCGTATGGTGACGACAGAGGCAAAGACAACAAATCCACAGTGCAAGGATATTTCAAGACACCACTATGTCAGGTCTGCCAGCAGCCCATGGGCCAAAGTCTGCTCTCACTGCTAGGATGGAAGGGGGCGTCACTAAAACACCATCTAGAGACAGCTGACTTGCATGTTGTGGTCCAGAGAGAAGCAGGTGGAACCAGGGCAGCCCCTGAGGCTCACTGGCTCCCATTTTCCTGCCCGGCCACCTCTCTCATGTCTGCACGGAGAGAGTAAGGGCAGGCTGGGAAGGCTGCTTGTGACCTGGCAGGAGCCCCAGTTCTCTCTCACCCACTGTGACGTGAGCAGGTCACTGCAACCTGCTTGTCCCCCTCCTGTGGGGAGGGCTGGACACACAAATCCTTGCTCTCAGAGGGGGAAGGAAGGAGAGGGGGCGGGCAGGGAGCACAGTGGAGGACTGTGTGCTTTGGCGGTGGGAGAATGACCAGGGCCACACCTAAGGCGGGAGATCCTGCCTCGTCAAAACATCAACGAAAGTGTAAAACAATGGGACTTCATTCATAAAATCATTGACATTAAAAAAATACTTAAACATTAAAACTCTCCATGTTCTATTTCGCTTAAGAGGAGCTTATCGAACACAGGACACTCTGCAAAGGCTTTTAGAGGCCCCCAGTGGCCCACCGAGAAATTCCAGACTCTTTCCTGCACATTCAAAGCTCTTCCACAATCTGAGCACTGTCCAACCCCTAAGCCATCTGCCTTCAACCCCGGACCAGGGCTGTTTCTGCAGGAATCTTATCTTGACTACTCAACTGTGAGCTTCTTCAGGGCAGGGATTAGGAGTTAGCCAGCATTTATCAGAAAGCTGGGCTTACAGCAAACACTTAGCGTATTTTTGACTTGGTGCTGAGATAAAGCGTGGCATAGCCCGGAGCTATGGGAGCAGCAACATAACATGTCCATGAGGAGAAGAGCTCTGCACGTGGTGTCTGAAGACCCTGGTATTGACAGTTTCTTCCCACTGAGTGACCTGGGGACCACCATTTATTCTCCCCAAGTAGCAATACCCCCAGGGGTAGATGGGAGTGCTAACATCAACTGTTCTAATTATTGAAGGGAAAATGAAACTGCAAACAGAAAGGAAAACAACGCAAATAAAAAACCACTTGATTATTATTCAAACCTCAACCTTCAAAGAACCAGGGCAGCTCCCCCCAGACCTGTGACCAAGCAGAGTTTACCAGCCTTTTCTCTCCGCTCAGGTCCATTAAGTTTGCCTTTGCAAAACCATAGCTGCCATTTTATTGCAACAAATTTTGACGTGCAAAACTATAGACAACCTCATTGAGTGGACGACTTTAGATGAGACCCACGTGGTTCAGCCAGAAACCATATGTCTTCTTCCCAGCAACACCCACAGGAGCCACGGAGCTGGGTGATTTGCACCAGCCACTTATGAACCAACACTACACAAAATCTCTCAGGAAGGAAGAGATAAAGAGACTCTGTTTGTAGACACCGAGCAGTGTTTGGCTGCTCAGATGACCTGGAACACTCACTGGGATTGCTCCAGGCTGTCAAGATACAGTTCTCTCCACCATGAATGTGGAAGCGAAGGAGCTTTCACTAAGGGCAAAACTAGCCAAGAGTTCCCCACGTGAAAAGTTCTCAGGAACCAACACAATGTGGCACCACTGTGCAAATGGAGACTTGGGGGACTCTTTTGACCATAAAATCCAGCTCATCAGCAGTCCAAACCTCTCTCTCCACCGGAGACCCCACAAAGGAGAAGGCCTCTGTCTCAGCAAGGAGCCTGTCATTGCTCGGCAGAGACTGCAGGTGCTGAGAAAGGAGGAGGAGGTCAGGAGTGGTGCGGGGAGCTCCGCCTTCTGCCCCAGGTGCTTTCCATTCGGGTTTTGCAGGTATCTGGTTGAAAGCGGTTGCATTCCCTCATGCCTCCTCTTAGCTGTCCCTGATGTTCCTGCCAGCAAAAAAAGGGGGTGATCCAAAAGAGTCTAGTCATCTTGCTTAAGGGCCATTCATTCACAAATCTCAACTATCACAACACCAGCCCTGCCCCTGACCCAGCCCAGCTGGCCTTGATGCTTTGGGTTGCCCTTGGCCTGGCCAGGAAGCAAAAGAAGTGGCTACTTCTTAGGGGCAGTGTGGCTGGAGCAGACCCAGGTTAGCTGACACTGCCGTTGACTGAAGTTGGCCTGAAATTCTTGCATTCAATACTTAAAGCGTCAATAGGGTTTCCTCTATGAGGTCAAAAAATACAATGTCCTGGGGAGAAGATTCCCACCTTAGAAGTCATCTGACCAACTGCCTCATTTTGTTGTTGTTGTTGCTGTTGTATAGTAATTATTATATATTTTTTAAAGATTTATTTATTTATGCACACAAGAACTGGGGTACAGGCCAGAGGGGCGGGGGGCGAGAGGATTCACCAGAGACAGAGTGGGGAGCAGAACAGGCAGACTGACCGAAACACACTGCTGAGGGGAGCAGCGGGGAGTCGGGAGAGGTCTGCTGTCCCATGTGGGTCACCTCCCTGGCCTGGGAATGAGCTTGTGCTGCAGAGGCTGCGGATAGCTTCTTAGGTTTCTCTTAACCCCTTTTGCCACCAGGGATGCCCCGTCAGAGATATAGGTATACACCACACCCACCACCAAGCACCCCTCATCCCCACCGAGTCCATTGGACTCTTTTCTCTGCTCCCCAATTCCAGCCTTACCCTCTGTTGGCCCCAATTCTACAGTCATATTTCTAGGGTTTGTTTTGGTTTGTCTGTTTACTTGCTTTGCTTCTTTGTATTTTACAGGTGGGTGAAATCACTCTGCATTTGTCTTTCTTTCTGACTTGCTTCGTTCTCTCCAGTTGCGTCCATGTTGTATAAAATGGCAGGAGTTCACCATTTTTATTGCTGGGTGGTTGTCAAACCACCTTGCTCCAAAGATAAGGCAGAGGCCCAGGATGGTTAAAGAACTTGCCCAAGTTCATCCAGCAAATTAGCAGCTGAGCAGACACACAAAACAACAAGTTCCCACGACTCCCAGCTCAGCCCAGCTCCCGGTGGCTGCACTCAACTCCCCAGGTGCTTAGTCACGTCTCAGCAAAGACTGCTGGACTCCAGAACCACCTCCGGGCCTGCTGCTGGGGGTACAGCAGTGAGGAGGAGGGATCTCTACTCTGAATGCTCTCTGGGTCTAGACAGAGACACAGGCAAAGGGAACCGCTGGAATGAGTCCTTCGGGGGAGGTCTGCACAAGGTGCTGGGGAGACCAGCGGAGAGAAACCCCCTCAGGAGATTGGCTAGAGGGGTCTCACCAAAACATGGCCACTGGGTGTGATGTCACAAGAGGACAAGGGAATGTATGTGCCTCAAAGTCACACTGTAAGACCCCTAAGAAGGTTCTAGATTCTAACCTGTCTCCAGGGACAGAACAGTGGGAGGTGTTAGATGATGGGAGGATTTGTCCATCACGGTGGTGGACAGGAACCTTGTGTAGTGGGCAGTGGGCAGCGTGCCCTTGGCTAGGCCTCTGTAATGAGCACAGCCTGGGAGCTCAGACATCAGAAATGGAGTCTCAGGCCATCCTGGAGATTGGGAGGCCCAGATCCAGGAGTCCATGGGGTTGGCTCCTTTGGAAGACTGTGGGAAAGGTTCATGCCATGCCTCCCCCTGGCAGCTGGTGGCTTGGTGGCAATCCAAGTGCAGATATGAGAGTTAGGAATGCCAGCAAGAATGAGACTTCCCTGCCACAGGATTTCAAGGGATCTGCTAAGAGAGCTGCAACCTGCTGGGAGTTTGAAAGACTCCTCCATTCTGCCTCCCCCTGCCCCCAGGGCACTGGGCTTGCACACCCTCCTCTACCTGGCTCCCATTCTTTGCTCTGTGCCTACCCTAGGCCTCCAGCCCTCCGCCTCTCCTCGAGACCTGTTGGGGCTTTGCCGACTAATCAGTTTCCTCCTGGCCTTTGTTCTGTCTCAGCACTTGGCTTGTAATCTGGCCCCAAACCATCTCCTCTCAGCCTCTCCCACCCCACCCGATGCTGTACATCCAACCTTGGCGAATCTGGCCTCCCTCTTCCATCAAAGAAAAAGGAGAAATTTGGATAATCCAGCCAGCAGTCAAGGTTTTGTTGCTCCGTGTACTGACTGAAGATCAACAAACAGAATGCAAGGCATCTTCAAACAAATTTCAGCTCCCAGCAATTTCTTGAAGTAATAATTGGGTCTCCATGGGGTGGGAAAGAGAGTTTGCGTCTATCATCACCCCCCTTGGCAGTTGGCTATTCTGGGTGGGAAATGTTGAAGGGAAAACCTATCCCGGCCCGATGCTGGCCCACTTAAAACTTCTATTATGAAACCAAGTTGCATAAGCTGTAAGAGAAAATAAGTTATATTCTCAGGAACAAATTCTAGTGAATCAGCTCATTTTAGCCTCACATCTTCATCTGTCTCTGAAGTGCCTTATTTAAATTTTAATAGAAAACGTTCTATGTGGGGCTCAAATGGAGGGAATGAAAATAACACTGTTTATCCCCAAGACAAAATTGTGTTGGGAGCAAAAGCAAAAAGAGAGAGAGAGAGAAATACGATGCTAATTTCTTGAAAACAAACCTCCTATGTCCCACTTCGTAGGGACTGGACAAAGCAATATAAAGTCTATTGTACTGAACAAAAGCAGCAGTGGCACATTCAGAGACTCACTGTCCCTTTTTAAGTGGCTTTAAAAATCAGAGAAAAATTTTCCTTTGGGGGAACGTGAGAAAAGCTTGCAAAGCAAGGTTTTGCCCCCGTCGTGAGGCCGTTCAAGAAATAGGGTTGCAGGCAGGTCTTTTGTGAGCTTGGGAGAAAAATCAAGACCTGGGTTCAAATGCCAACTTCATCACCAGCTGTGTGACCTCGGCCACGTCCCTGAGTGAGGCGTGAGGGCGGGCGGTCAGCTGTGATGCAGAGGACACTCACAGCTGCTCTCGTGACAAGGATGTGAAATGACATCCGCAATTCCTGCCCGTCCCCCAACCGGGGCAGCCTCGCCATGAGCCTCGTGTCCTCCATACCAGGAGCTGGCAAACTGCAGCCACGGGCCAGGTCTGGCAGCTTCCTGGGTGTGGAGGAGGCCTCAGACATTGCCAAGCCTGTCTGTCCCCGTGGTCTCCACCCTCACACACCCACAGCAGAACTGAGTAGGTGCAGGGAAAGGTATGGTCCACGAGGTCTGGAAAGCTCTTCACCCGGTTTTTGGTTGAGAAAGGCTCTGAGCCGCACTCCCACAGTGGTGGAACATGGGAGTCATGTCAGGCAAACTTGTCCAGCTTCAGGCCTGATGTCTGATCAGCCACCTCATTCTATGGATTCTATCTGCAAATATCCCTCTTGTGTTTACACCTTCTCCCTTCTCCGCGGCCACGCTGTCTAAGCCACTGGATGACATTAGTCTCTAAGAAAGCGCCCAGCAGCTGCTCTGTCCACCCCATCTCTCTCTCAGCCTGGTGAGTTTTTGAAAATGCAGTTCATGCCAACTTCCTGCCCAGACAGAGCCACTAGAGCTCACGCTGCTACTCAGAAGAAAATCAAAACCCTGACAGAGCCCAGCAGACTTGGAACCCACCTTCTCAGCCCCTTAGAATTAAGAGGACCTTCCTCACCTGGACAACTCCTGCTCGGCACAACTCCTACACCCCACAGCACAACTACCCCTGCTCAGACCCAGCTGTCCTGACCTTCGACCCCACCCCCCTGCAGACATGTCAGTATCCCCTGATGGACACACTCATTCATGGCATGGATTATGATTGAAAATAGATATTCAATCTCATGCTTACTGTGGTATATTTAATGTCTCCCCATGAATGTGCACCCTCAAGGGCAGGGAAAACCAAGCCATGACCACCTCTGCTCTCCAGCGCATGCATGAAGCCTCACACAGCACAGACAGTGCCTTGGGGAAAAGTGGACATCACCACCAGGCTGCCTGACGCCCTCCAATGTGTGACTAAATCTTGTCGCCTCTTTGTGCCTTCATCTCTGTATATGTTAAAGGGGGTGATGGAGTCATGTATGATGCTATATCAAGGGTTTGGAGCATTAGATTATTTAGTATACAAGAAACACCACGGTTCTGGGACATGTTACACTCCACAGAAGTATTTGCTATTCTGAATAGAGGAGGCTCTCACTACAAACAAAATGCAAGAATAACTAATTTTTACCTCTCCTCCTCTAAGAGAGCATGCTTTAGGAGTACTCTATTAATCTGAAGTTCATATCCACATTCCATTAACTTTCCCCACGCCTGTATTATGCCTCCTATTTCTTTTGAACTGCTGTTCTCTTATAATCCCCAGTCACTCCAATGAATTCTATTCACTGATCACAACCCTGTGCAAATGCTGCCTTCACCCTGGAACCAATTGTTCCTTTTGGTCCCAGAACTACCAAGAGGAATTAACATTCTTTTCACTTGTGTTACAATGAGATGGATTAGATAGATGGTGGATGGATGGATGGATGGATGGATGGATGGATAGATAGATAGATAGACAGATAGACACATAGATAGACAGACAGACAGACAGACAGACAGCTATACAGATAGATAGATGGATAGATAGATAGATAGATAGATAGATATTTTGGTCCCAGAACTACCAAGAGAAATTAACATTCTTTTCACTTGTGTTACAATGAGATGGATTAGATAGATGGTGGATGGATGGATGGATGGATAGATAGATAGATAGATAGACAGATAGACACATAGATAGACAGACAGACAGACAGCTATACGGATAGATAGATGGATAGATAGATAGATAGATAGATAGATAGACAGACAGACAGACAGACAGACAGACAGACAGACAGACAGATAGATAGATAGATAGATAGATAGATAGATAGATAGATAGATAGATAGATAGATAGACAGACAGATAGATAGATAGATAGAATAGGATAGTGGGAGAATGAGGGAGAGAAAGACATAGAGATAACTTACATATTTCTATATTTCATAATGATATTAGTCATTTGTCTCTGAATAGGAAGATCAAAATTGTCACCACCTCATCACTCCCCACTGGTAGGGTTTACACCTTTGATATAACACTCATGCTATTTTATTTGAGTGTTTCAGTAACCTACTTGTAGCTACTTGTATCTTCACCAGAAAATTTTAACCTGTGATAGGTCAGAGACCACAACTTACTCACCCTGCAAGTGCCCAAAGAGCTTATGGTGCACAGAAAATGCTGGCAATTCGTTACCTGTGGTTGAATCATTTCTGCGTCATCAGTGTTGACTGACTCACAACACGCTTTGGAGCAATTACTTGTGGAACTGCACTGAAATAAAGAGACATCTTTAGGGTTGTTCTCTTGCTTTCTGAATTTAAACCCAAACTCCAGAAATAGTCCCACAATGAAATCTACAAACCTCAGACACTCTGGGTGGATGACCTCCACACTTTCTTTCTTATAACTGAGGAATTTCAGGTTCAGATGGGTTCACTAGCATGCCACCCAACTAGCAAGATGCCACCCAACTAGCACCACTGGGACCCAGCACTCCTTACTTACATCCCTTTCTCATTGTCTCTCTAAAGGTAACTCGCCTGGATCTGACTTCTGGCTCAGTCCCTCTTTCTTCACTTGTGTTTTCAAAGAGCATTGAAGAGAGCCAGGTGCGTAGTCAGTGTGTGCAGCTGCCAGATGTCCCGCAGCAAGGCTTACCCCTTCTTCAACCCCAGCACTGCACTTGAATTTTAATAATTATATTTTTATACCCAGAAGTTCCCTTTTTGCTTGGGCAGGATGGGTGCTCTTTTTTCTAGTGATTTTTATTTCATTATGAAATGCTTGGCTTTATGTCCGGCACAGATTCATGCCAAGCACATCTGAGGCACTATGGATGCTTTGCTCTTACTGCACATCAGGGCAGAAGCTAGTAAACTCAGGCTAGATTTTGTTCATCATGATTCTTTTATTGAATGGACTTTAAAAGCAGAGTGTCACACTACAAGGGGGGTCATAGATTCAAAAAGATTATAAACTACTGGCCCAGGGAGAGTAGTCCAGTCCTACCTCCTCAGGCTGTTGTAAGAATTACAAGAAAACGGAAGCTGGTGACCATAGGCCTTGACGGCTCACACCCACATGTGCCCTTGGTGGAGATCAAAGCCAGTAGAAGCTGAGGGTGGCCTTTGAACAAGAAAAGGTCATGTGACTAAGATGAGTGGGGAGCCGTGCCAAACCTGTCCCCATGTCCTCGATCAAAGACTCGATAGGCCAAATATGCCTACAGGTTAGAATTCTACATCTGCTGGGAGAGGTTATAACACACAAAGTCAACATTTCTAAGAAATTCCTAGTGACTGACAGGAGAATGGCTTTCAGAAATCTCTTAGGAGGTCTGAGTTAAAAGGTATATAATGCACAATATATAATGCATATACATATGTATGTGCATATATCACTATAGATATGGATAACAAGAGAAGAACAAAGGAAAGCTTTGAAGAGACACAGACAGACCAGGGAGATTATATCTATACTGACAGCTACATGTCTACACCATACCCCCACTTATGTCTGTAATTTTATCACCAATCCCATCTTTCTTGTGCAATTAGGAATGGTTTTCTGCAGACTTGGCAAGCAATATGGGACTTGGGGATAGCCCTGAAACATAAAAACCCACAGGATAATTGTTTATTTCCTCTCTCTCTCTCTCTCTCTCTCTCTCTCTCTCTCTCTCTCTCTCTGTCTCTCTCTCCTCCACCCCATCCCCCTACACACACACACACACACACACACACACACACACAATTTGGCTTTTCATTTTCTTGCCACATGGACTCTTCAGTTATACTCATTAAAATACATTAATGAGAGCTCTGAGAAAGAGAAAAATGAAGAAAGTAAAAAGGGGATCAAGAAAACAGGACACCTCGAGACGTCTATTCTAGTTAATAAGCAAGTCAGAGCAGAGTTGGACAAAAGCAACATTGCATTTTGTGGTCACGAGTATATTGTTTGCTCAACCACAGATGTTTACTTCTCCTTGCCTCGCTTCTCTGAGCCCACAGAACAATCCTTGGGGACACAAGCTGGTTTTCAACCGAGGAAAGCTATCTTGAATTTGGACAAAAGACACAGAGCTGAGTGTGTTAGGAAACACACACCTCAAAATTCTGTCTTTTTTCTTTGAGTCCATGTCTACTCAGGTCAACCACGATCACCCTCCAAGAGTCCGGGGCACAGCCTTCTACCATGTAGTGCTTGGCGTTGGTAGGTGTCCCTTCAATATTTGCTCAGTGAATAAATAAATAGGTCAACCTGGCTACCCAAACACAGTTGGGGCTTACTACAGTCTGAGCAGAGAGAGTCATGCCTCTTTCCTTAAAAATAACTCAAATCTGGGCCTCCCCGGTGGCGCAGCGGTTGAGCGCTGGGTTTCGAAGCTGCCCGCAGCCTCTGCAGCGCCGGTTCGATCCCCGGTTACCGGGCAAGGGTCCCACATGGCGCGCAGACCTCTCCTGCCGCCCGCTGCTCCCCTCAGCAGTGTACCTCGGTCCTTCTGCCTGCTCTGCTCCCCGCTGTGGCTCTGGTGAATTCTCTCACCCTCCCGCGCTTCTGACTGTACCCAGTGCTTGTGTAAATAAAAAAAATTAAAAAAAAAAAAAACTCAAATCTGCAAACCCTCATCACCAGTATGAATTCCTGTGTTTCCTTTTCCCAAAACATCCCTATCTGGAGAGTCACCTTCCTTCATTTATCTTGGGAGTTGCTTACCCCCCAACTCCCTCCTCTAGTTCTGGCATCTTCTGTTGTACTCTCACTGCAGCTATTAAAACACCTGTCACCTGACTATCTCTGCAGCAACAGTTGACGTCAGGCCTCTTGGTCTGGGTCAGAGGTGAGCCGTCACCTTCTTAGTTGGGAACCTCCAGCTCATATTAGGCTTCAGTCTCTCAGTTCTGAATTTCCACTCTACCCCACTAGGTCCACAAGGAGAGACTGGCATGGACAGAGCTGCGGGCTTTGGGGGAAACACCCAGAAGGAAATGGTGGCCGAAAGGAGAATTAGACTGGAGGCAGAAAGTTAAAAAATATTGAGTTATCCAAGTGAGAAGAAATGAATGTCTTCACTTAGCAGATAATGGGAAGAGGAAGAAGGAAGGAAAGAGAGGACATTAGGGGAGGCAAATAGCCTGGAAAAGAGATTGAATGAGATCCAAGTTCAGTGAGCTCTGGTGGACGAGGGATTTGTAAAGCACGGGCTGGATCAGAGAAAGCAGCCCTTTTGCACAGGAGCTCCCCACAAAGGTGCCGCAGAGATGGCCACAGCTACACTCAGGCACGGGTGCAGGAGGATGGGGGTCCTGGTGGGAGATAGTGGTTGGGGAATACCTGCTGGGAAGCACAGAAATGACCTTGGATCCTGTAGTGTCCTTAGATAGGTAAGAACGTACGAATAGCTGCAGCACCGTTCCCACGACCAAGCGATAGAAACAACCTGAGTGCCCATAGACAGTGGAATGGACCGAGAAGAAGTATAAAAGATACCCAGTGGAATACTACTCAGCTACAAAAAAGATGAACTCTTACCACTGGTGACACGATGGATGGCACAGGAGAGGATTACACTAAATAAAACAAGTCTGAAGGAAAAGGACAAACGACTGGATGATTTCACTCATGGGCAATATACAGAAACAAACAAAGGAATAGACAAAACAAACAAAAACAAACCTCTGAAATCAGAATGCAAAACTAGCAGAGAGGGAGGGTGGGGGGAGCGGGGGAAAGAGAAATAGGAAGAGGGGAGCCCCGTGGATTTTGGTGGGAGACAATGGGGGCTGTGGTGGTGGGTGTGGTGTGGTAACGTACAGCCAAGCAGATGTGATCCTACACCCCTAAAACATATGCAGCATTGTAGACCAACGCCATGTCATAAGCACTCTTTTTTAAAGACTGAAGGGTCAGAAGGTACAGTGGGCCTGTGCTGTTCTTATCTGTCCAGCATTAATTTCCCCATTTTTGGAAACAAAGCTTATTTTTCCCGTGGAGGACCCAAAGCATTGGGAATCAGCTGACCACTCCGCACGCTGCTCATCAAGGGATCAAATGACCCAGACTAAGATGAGGATTCTATGACCTTGAACTCGGTGACTGACTCAAGTTTGGCTAATTGGGGAAAAAAAAGATTTAATTATAACTATGAAAAAGAATGAGATTATCGAGGAATTAAAATTAAGATTTCTTTTTCTAGCTAGAATGTGAATGTATTTTTCCCATTCCTCTACCCTACACACCTACGGTTGCAGTCAAAGGGCTCTTCCTATTGCGTTTAATAAAAACCCAGTGCCAACTAGCTTAAGAGCTTAAGTTCAAAAAAAATTATCTTGACTCCCAGGCTAATTTCCCTTTCACTCGACCTCACTATCTTCATTATCCTTGCACAGACTTGGGTCTTATGTAATGGAGACAGTTTATCCATCCTGAGAAAAGAGATTGGTTCTGCTAATGACACAACTCTCTTAACATTTCTTCTCTGTTCCCTCTTCACACAATTTTTAAAACATATGATACAAGCTGATACACACACATACACCCATGCCTTAGACAAGTGCTACTAGCTTTTATCTGTGGCTATTGAGTTGTTTTCATAGTTCTCTTTCTTTTCCTATGCTGAGCTTTTTGAGGCAAAAAAAAAAAAAAAATAGTCTTAGAATTTGGATAGGGGTTAAGGATGAACCAATACCTCTGTGTTGTAGAACTGAGAAACTGTGCTATGGTAACACCCACGTTTTCTGCATTGAAGACACAGGCACTGCTAGATCCCAGAGTCTGCCTGAGAACTAGTCTCAAAAAAGATTTCCTCTAATAGCACCTCCAAGTTTAGTGTGAGGTGTATCTATTGTGAGAGAATTTCATGAGACAAATGGATGGGTCTAGTGTCCACCTTGCCAACAACAATTCACTTTTGTAGAATTGTAAAGAAGCACATTTAGAAACTGTGTGGAGTGATTGGGACAGGAATATTTAAATAAGGCCAGATTTTAAATACTCTGTTAACTAGACAACTTACTCTACTATACTCTTGAGGGAAATCAGAAAATCACACACCCACACACACAAAAATAACTTGCTAAAGTCAGATTATCTCAAAAAATAAAATTTGAAAAGTCTAGGCTAATCACATAATTAGCCCTATTTCTCTAGACTTTTACCATTTGCGGAGATGTCACTGACAGGTTCTTATTTGAATTACGGAGAAAAAGCAATATGATTTTTACCCTTTTTTGACAACTGCTACAATGGAGGCAAAGAGTTAAGCAAACTGCCAAAGTTCAGAAAGCTAATCAACGGGGAAGAAGTAATTCGGAGAACACTCTACCTCTATGTCCAGCAGACAGCATGAAAGAAGACGAAATCTAAAATCAGGACTCTCCAGTCATTGCCTAACTCTGTGACCCTGGTCCAAATGCTTAATCATCTCAACAGTTTAATTGGCTTCCTTGATTATGAAATATGGATAATAGTTACCTGAAAGTCTCTCTCAGGGGAATTGAATGAGATAATGGAAGTTAGACATCCAACCTACAGCATGCAGTCTGTGGTAGTTTCCGTCCTCCTTCTCTGGAGAACATGGCACATTCGACGTGTGCTTCAACTTCAAGGGCATGGTCAGTGTGCCAACGGTCACATGCTCAGAACAAAACCTGTTTGAAATCCGCATCCATCAGTGAAATATTTGTTTACACTCACTCTTTCAAACCCCTATCCCTGTCACTGCCCAACCATGTACCGCCTTCATCTTTTATATCAGCAGATGACACCACCATCAACCCAGGTCCCCAAACCTAGAAGCTGCAAGAGAGTCCGTGCTCCTGCTTCCTCATCCCCTTCACATCAGTTGTCACTGACTCTACTCATGCCTCCCCCTTAAAATGTCTGCTGACTGTGCCTACTCCCTTCTGCTACCATCTCCAGCCCACTGCCCAACATCCCGATCCTTGGTGTAGGACAGTCCGTCTCTGGTCTCAAGCCACGTAATCCTACCCCCCAGGATGCTTCCACTGCAAGTCTGTAAGAGACTCACCTGATCCCAGAGAAAGGCCTGCACAAAGCTTCCAGTGGGGCATCCGCAATCTCTAGCCTGGCACATAAGACCCTCCCATCAGCTGGATTCCACCTTGACATTCTGCTACTTCTTTCATTCCTCTTCCAGAACCCTCTGGGCCATGTCTCACTATTGCAATTTCCTAAATTCCTAAATTCCCACCCTCAGGGGATGATCTCTCTGATTGGAAAACTTTCTCTACTTTATTGGTGGAAAATATTTTTATCATTAGAATTCATCACAGTATCATCACTGTCGTCACTATGTCCTATCAGGATATCCCCAAAATCTAGCTATACACCCCCTCAGGTGCTCCTAGGGCACATTAAGTTTGCCACATGTTTTCAAAGCACTCTTAAGAATATGCGCTCTGTGTGTGTGTGTGTGTGTGTGTGTGTGTGTGTGTGTGTCTATAAAGATAGAGCTATGAGCTACTATGGTTGAACACCAACTCAAAAGCTGCCTGGATTAGTCTCCTGTGATACCATTTATGAACTATGGGGCTTTAGGGGAGTTTAGCTGACCCGTCTATGCCTTGCTTTCATATCGTTTTTTAAAAAGTGTGTATCAGTTTTTATGGCTGCTTTAACAAATCACCAAAACTCGGTGGCTTGAATCAACAGACATCTGTGCTCTCACCGTCCTGGAGGAGTAAAGTCCAACATCAAGGCCTCAGCAAGCTGCACCCCTCTGATGGCTGGAGGTGATCGCCCCTCAGCCACCCTGCTACTGGGCTGCTCAGCTGTCACTTGACTCGTGGCAAAGCTGGCTTCTGTGTCTCCGAGAACGCAAAGGTTCAATTTTCAGGATTTGAGGAGCCAAGTGATACCACGTCTGTAGCTTGAAATCAACCATAGTGGGAATATCTAAACCATAGAAATTGGTAAACAACACAAATCAGGGGTGCCCCCACCCCAAACTCCCACAGACAGCCGGTTACATAGTGAACACTAACACTACACCACTGCTGACAACCTGGTCTCTCTTGGCCACTGAATATCAGAGCCATAGAAAGAGTCATTCAAAAAACAAAGAGAGAATCACTCAGAAGCCAAGGCTGTGAGCAAGAGACAGCAGCTCGCCCAAGCCACAGGCAGAGACAGGAGGAGAAATGTGCTGATCCGTGACGGCAGGCTCAGCGTGAGCAGAGGCAGAGCCCGGGGACCCTGTTCTGATGGCAACCCCCTGGAGCAGGACCAAACAGATGCCTCTGCCTCCAGGTGGTGGGGGACCGATCCTGCTCCCCGAGTTTCCAGGCTCCCACATGACCTTGGCTAAGCCCGGCTCTCCTGGGACGCTGGTTCTGCCCTGAGTCCTATTGGCCCAACTTTCCTGTCTGTCCTGCTTGTTCCGTCCTCGCTCCAGCACCAGCAGTGCAGACAGCAGTCCATAAGAGGCTTTCACATCCATCCAAACATTTAATCCTCACAAGCGCCCTGGAGGGCACAGAGACCACCCTCTTTGTCAGCACCCACCAGCAGGCGAGGCGGGGAAGCTGGACTCGGTCTCCTGCAGCACACCCCCAAGACCCGCAGCCAGGAAACTGCAGAGCGAGCTGAGCCTCGGTTGTCTGTTCCTGCGCCAGGATCCCGACCCCAAGAGCTATAGGGGGTCACACAAGATGCTTGACACTCTGATACTCTGCCCGCACAGAACACGGTCTGTGACTGAAATGACTTGCAGGCTGCCTGAGAAACGGAGAGGACCAGAGACGGTCCGGGAACAGAGAGAGAGAGAAGATCCAGAGAGAAGGCGACTTGAAAGCTTGGCGGTCGCTGCTAGATCTGAAGGCAAGTAGGTGTGCACACGTCTGTGTGTGTGCGTGCAACATCACCTGGCTCCTCCAGGCGCAGTACATGGCAGCTGTCACACGGTTTGTGTTTGGGTGAAAGTCTCAGCTTCCTACTCATTGATTGTGAGAACTCGGGCAGGTCATGCCCCTCTGAGAGCTCAGCCAGGACAGGGACATCAATTTCTCTACCTACTTCATGAGCGTCTGCTAAGGTTTTCTAAGGAAACGACCACAGACCACTGAGCACAAAGCTCAGCATATTTGATATATAGTTGCTATCTCATTAAGAAGGAAAATTATAAAACTAGGATAATTTTAACATGTCTGAGTATATCCTAAAAATCACTGACCAGTCATGCGGGAAGGCTCCCCAAAAATCAATGTGTTTGATACACACACAGTCTGCTCTGCTTAAAAAAAAAAAAAAATTAGAAACATGCATGGATCAAAATTAAACATCCTTAAATAAAACATAAAGCCCAAACAGCTGCTGCTGGAACTTGGTCCCTAGGCAGATTTGGTTTTTGAAAATGACAAAGAGGCCAAATTGTGCTTCGATTCCTGGGCTTCGTGAGAGGGGGCCGTGATTGCTTCCCCCGCGGACAGCCTGCAGATGCTTAAACAAAGGCGATTGTATGCTGGACACAGCTTTCCGGGACCCTAGGCCAGCAGGGAATTCTGCAACCACACCACAAACAGCACCGCTGAATTTCCTTCCATTTTCTAAAATAGCAACGGCCACAAATG